TAAATTATTAGAATGTGTGTTGGGGTTTGGGAGTGCGTGGGGAACTTCATTTGGGTGTTTTTTTTGTTGGTTTGTTTTCTTTTTTTTCCATAGCTGGGTTGTCAGTTGGTTTTCTTTTCCTTTTTAATGGTTAAGTAAATATATATATGGGGACCAATCGAGAGATACAACTGTGAAATCAGACACGCACGCAGGGGGTGGGGGGGCAAAGGAGTCACAAGTTGCTACATAAAACTGCCACGTCTAATAGGATGTGCATGAGTCAAAGTACATCGATTCGAATGGGTACGGGGAAAAGGGGCAGCCACCATCTTAAAGACAGTCCCAGGATGCAGTATCGCTCGGCCACGTCGGCTCTCCCGGCAGGGCTCCAAGGGGGTGGTGGTGGTGATTGCAGTCTTGAAAAAACAGTCTCCTGGTGCTTTGCACCCCGTGGCTGTGCCCGTTCCCGTCAACGCACGGCCACCGTCTCGCAAAGTCTTGCGGTGCTTCGCACCCCGATGGCTGGGACCGGTCCCTCCGCAAGCAGTGGCTGGGGCTGCTTTCGGAGGGGTGCCGTAACGCTCTGTTGGCATCTGAAGGGGTGCTGGAGAACGGGAAGCCGCTCTGGCTCATCCAAAAAAGTTCCACGTTGCTCTTCCGTAGCGCTAAGCAGTTATCTTACACCTAAAGGGGGGTGGGGTGTGAGGAGGCATCTGGAAAAAAGGCTCTGTTGGGTTTTGAGATGCTTCTTGGCCGCACCTCCTCCTCGCAGAAGCAGAAAAGGCAGCAGCATCATGTACACAAAGTCCTGTAATGCTCTGCACTTTTTTATTTAATGAAACTGTTTCCCCAAAACAAAGGATGGAGCTGCTGCCATCCCGAATTCACGTCAGTCTTTGTCTCTTTGAGCTCTGTGCGATGCTGATTCCGTTTTTCCTCAGAGCTCGGCTGAAATCACGTACCGATCGTTTCGGGTCCGTTAGCGGTGTGTCAGTCCCTCCCCGTTTTCTCTCCTCCACTCTCTGCTGCCAGGATGCCATCCTACACTTTTTTGTCCCGTCTTCTCTTGCACTCTGCTGCATGGTGGGCTCAGGATGTGTCACTCTGCAGCTTCCCCTCCCCCAGGATTTGGTTGATTCATTCCTCCTCTTGAGAGAAAGACGTGATGATGTCACATTGACAGTAGAAGTCCATCTAAAGGGGTTTGTCACTCTCTTTCTTCAGGTGGCTAGGATAAAGCAGAGGAACAAGGTGATTGTGAGAGAGAATCTAGTGAATCCAGTCCCACACAACACTGCTGGCTTGGGAAGTTTTGTGGGATTTGAAGCGGGAGAGGCTATCGAAAAGGTGCAACATTGCACCCCTCTTTCTCCACACACTTCCCCACGTATTTGTGAAAGCCTCGTCTTGGCAAAAGCATCCAGCCCTTCGGATGTTTGGCATTTTGGCGAGGGGAACTGGATTAGCACGTGTGAAACACGCAAGTTTACCCCCCGCCCAGAGGAGAGGAGCTTAGACCCCACATGAGATTCACCACCCAACAGCCACTTGCCAAGAATGACCTTCCTGGTGGCCAACCCACAGCTGGGCCCCAGTGCCAAAGCATCCCTGCGTGGCACCCCTGCCAAGGCATCCAAGCGTGGGCTCAGGCCGAGTTATCCATCTCAGGGGCAACACTTCCCTGTCCCCACCACCTTTCCCACCCCCAGGCCAGGGCTGCACCTGGAGGTGTATTCGTGAGGACAGAGTGGTCTGCTCGCCCCGTGCCATGGAGAGAGCAGCTCCACGCACCTGTAGTAATCCTCCTGCGTCGGGAGCGGCACGCCGTGCAGAGGGTGATGGGCGTGAAGCCACTGCTGCTGCTCCAGAGCCAGGCGCTGCAGCTCAGCTGACTGCGCGTGCATGGCCTGGAGCTGGTGTGCTGCTGACATGGGCGCCGAGAGAGAGCCCGGCAGGTCCCTGTAGGGCGCAGCTGCGGCCAAAAATGAAACAGAGAATAAACAAGTTCACGTTAACAGCTCCATCCTCTCCCACGGCCCCACAGCTCAGCCAAGGCTCTACTGCACTTCCTTCCCCAGTCCTGCCCACGTGCAGGACTTGCTCATCCCAGTAGTGCAGACCTGTCCCACACCATCCCAAAGCTCTTTTTAACGGTTTGGTCCTGTGACCCCTCACGACCACCCTGCCCCTTGGAGCTCTGCTGATGCTCTTCAGAGGAGACCAGCAGCCCCTGTGAGCATCCTTACCAAAAAGCTGGTGGCGCAGCACTTCATTCTCATGTAGAGGGTGAGGCAGGAGAGGGTTGGGGATGGTTCCAGCTGGGTACGGTATCCGGGTGAGGTGCGATCCCGAGGCGAGTGGGTCGATAAGAGGGTGAACAGAAGCCGAGGCTGGGAAGAAAAGGCATCACAAGATAGTTGTCCCACGCTTTGGAAGAGGTAACACGGGGACAGGCGCAAGGCACAACAAAACAGACACGGAGAAGGTTGGGGATGGAATGATTTCAAGGCTAGGCAACGCAGTGCCGCGTCCTTCTGAGTGTTATTCCTTTTGCCTGCACCGAATTTCACATGACCCAGTGGCATAGCTCTGTCCCTACGCTCCTCGGGGACAAGTACTGCTCCTTAACGTCGCTTCTGCAAGGACCTGCTCTGCATCACATCCATACCCACCTGCCACCCTGACTGTCACTCGCACGCATACTCCTACTGGGTGCTTCCATTCCCAGGTCTCACCAGCACAGATGCTGGAAACTGCTCTCTCCAGTGTTTTGGACTCACTGCAGGAGCGCTGGCTGGAGGTGCCCAGCTACAGACCTTCGTTTGTACCTGATGCCATCTCTTGGGTAGTTGTGGTTGCTCAAAGTGGGTGTCTGTCCGTGACTCTGCCACCGGATCCCACTGACCGCCCACAGAACCTGACTGGGTGCAGCACTTTTTCCTATTGTTTTGTAGTTTGGGCTTTTGCTTCCTTGAGATTTTCGTCCCTTAACTTTTTACTTTGCTTTCTTGTAGGATGTGGAAGTGGAAGGGACCACTACTCAATTCTGAAGGATGGCAGCCTCCAGCTCCTTATAATTAGCCCATCTTCTCCTCCATCCCATCCTACCCCACCATCTGCAGCAAGCACTACAGGAGCAAACTGGAGCACCACCGTTTCATTCGTCTTAAGTCGTTAGCAGGGCTCCCACTCCCTCTGCAGACCATGGGGTGGGGGACACAGTCCACAGCACCACCACCCCAGTAGCCACTGGGACCCCAGCGCTCATATTGCATCCCCAGAGATCCAGAACGGAAGGACACGGTGCCAACAGCTCCGCTCCCAACTAAGCAGCGGATTCACAGATGCTGTGATGCTTGCAACAGATGTCAGCGTCTTTGGTGGGATGGGAGCGAGGGCAAGGCTGAATGACCATGATGTTGGCCTCTTCTGGCTGAAGAGGTGGACCTAGGGACTCCAAGTCCAGTCTTGGCAGCTTTTGGGCTTCCCCAGGGCCAGAGGGAGGGAGCGCAGCTCCGCTCCCAACTAAGCAGCGGATTCACAGATGCTGTGATGCTTGCAACAGATGTCAGCGTCTTTGGTGGGATGGGAGCGAGGGCAAGGCTGAATGACCATGATGTTGGCCTCTTCTGGCTGAAGAGGTGGACCTAGGGACTCCAAGTCCAGTCTTGGCAGCTTTTGGGCTTCCCCAGGGCCAGAGGGAGGGAGCGCAGGGGGGGTGGGTGCAGCAGGAGGGAGAGCGGGGCTTTGTGCAGGGCACCACCACCATGGGGTCCTTACCTGCATGTATGGCATCCTGCTGGTGGAGATGGAGGTGGGAATGGATGTGGGAATGCTGATGATGATGAGGTGTCACATTGAGCATCTGCAGCCGGGCCAGAGGGTCGTTGCTGAGAGCAGCCACCCGCTCGGCGTGCTGGCGCTCGGCCGCCAAGCGCTCGGCGTAGGACATGTCGGGACGAAGGGTCGGGCCAGCTGCCAGCGCCAGCCTCTCCCGCTCCAAATGGCCCAGCCCTGGGTGGAAGGGAAAAGCGGGATGAAGGCCGGGGGCTGTCTGCAGACTCAGCCCGCCATGGCGTGGGAACGGATCCATGGCACGCGCCGCGAGGGCGTGGTGGTGCTC